ATTGATTCATTGATTCATTGGAACAGGTGTAGTGTGATCTGAGTTTCACTTTCCTGCAGGTGTTGTTGTTTTTGTTCTTATCTTAGGTTTAATATATGAAGTCGGTTTCTTGAGTTTTGCAGAGGGGGGTTGCGCTCTGTGATGCTGCACCAACGTGTACACCTGAGTGCACAAAACACGAGCAGCGAGTACCACAAAGTGCTACAGAATTGCACGACTGTGGATGGACGAAATCCGTTCACACCACTTTGAATCCATGAAAGCCCATTGTTTGCTGGCATTTGCTTCCAAATCATCCTTCCAGGCAGGATTCCGTCCATCTTCAGTACAAAGGGCTGCAGAGTTGTACTAGGGTGAAGAAGATGGCACAATTCCCCCATGTCGGTTTAGTCAGCCCTTTTAGTGAACCACTTACCCTTACAAAGAGAAACATGCCATTCACTTTCACACTACTGTGCCCAGTATTCATCGTCATGATCATGACTGAACCCGGGGTTCAAGCACCCCACAACCCCATGTTAGTCATTCGGTATCCCCATCAGATTTCTGGACTCCCAACTACTGGCCACTCCGAAGCCAGTGGCCTGAACCAGGCCAAGGAGTAGGGGACCTTTGTTGCTGAGTGCTTGCCTGTGATGCTTGTTATTGACCTGATTGTTTGCAGGTGGTCTGCTCTAGATGAGATAAGGTTTAAAGTGGAGGTACTTAGAGCCCTGTCGCTGATTGTTTGTTTCCGCTTTTTGAGCTGGCCACCTGATGTATTCGGTTCCTTGCTCTCTTGTCACCCGTTCCTTGTCATTCCATCGAGACAAAGTTTCTACCCTGCTTGTTTGTGTTTGTTGCTGTGTGGTTGTTACTATCTACTCATTGAGCTTCTATCATTGGCCGCTTTGTTTTGTATGGTTGCTTCATTTTTGCGCTTCAGTTTGGTTTTTGTGTGTGTCGTGTTGCCATGGCGAAATTGTGTGTTATCATAAACGCCCAATGTTGTTGTTTACATGATTGACATTTTGCTCCTGTGGTTTGATTCTCTGGGTTTCGTGGCGTTTAGTAGCTCTTATTGTTGTGATCATGTTTGACTATCTGAGTTTCGTTGCGTTTTATGGCTTGTGCTTGGGGGGTTGTTGGTGGCTTGGCTTTGGCATGTCCAAGCTACCAACAGGAAGAAGGCAGATGGATAAAACATCATGGGAGATCTTGATGTGGGGAACAGCGTTGTTTGCACTGTTCTCGGCATTTGTTTTGTTTTTTCCTTGTTTGATTGTTCATGTTTGGCAGGCGGCTGTAAAGAAAACTGTTTTTGCTTGCATGCCAAGCAGTCGGAACGCTAAGGTTGCCCTTTGTCCCTCTTGACCAGGGGTTGGTTCTGTTTTGGATGCGATACCCGACCAACATGGCCCACGTGTTTGGCAGACGTGTGCACATATCTAGGCAATTTAGAGCGAGGTCAGCCGAGGTGCGAGGTGGAGCAAATATTTTAAGCGAGGTGATTTAACTAAATTCAGAACAACGAGGTGCACACGTAGATGCAGCAGGAGAGGGTCCCACAGCAGGAAAACACTTCTCAGGGCCTAAAAAGTTATTTTATACGGTCAGAGGTGATTGTTGGGGAAATAACTTTTCGGGCCCTGCAAAGTTTTTTTTCTCATTGTCTTCCCTTAGCCTTCCCGTAGCCTTCTCGTAGCCTTCCCGTAGCCTTCCCGTAGCCTTCCCAGAGCTTCCGGCAACCCCTCAGCAACGCCTTTGACACAACAAAGGCCAGCCACTTGCCTTTGGCCAGGGTCACATGGAAATATATTCTGACATTGCTGTCATTTGGGATCCAGCGGCAACCGGAAATGCAAAGGATCCTTTCCAAGGTGTGTTTGGAGTGGGGAACAAACGGAGCGAAATTTCTGGAAACGGCATAGCGGCGGAAAAATGAATAGTTTTGAGAGCTCTAATGAACCATACTGCACTGTATTGCATATTGTATTCCATGTATATAGCAGACTTGTACTAGGACATTGTATTGGTGTTTGCGAGCTGGGGCTGCCAAAGTTTCCTGTAGCGCACTTGTACTGGGACGCGGCGTTGTTGTTGGCAAGCTTGGGGCTGCCAAAGCGCAAAATTATCTTTTCAGGGCTTGTAAAGTTGTTTTTCAGCACTCCAGGCAGCTGTCCGGGGCTGCCAGCCCTCAGAATGGAAATAAGCGACCCTGCAGGCAGCTAGCGGCCGCAAACGTGCAAAGTAAACTTTTCGGAGCTTGAAAAGTTTTTCAGCGCCTCCAACGGCTATCCGCTGCGGAAGCGTACTTTTTTGTACTTGGCTTGTACTACGAGTCGTGGAAGCGCGCTTCTTGCACTAGGTTTGTGCTACAAAATTGAGTTTTTCGAGCTGGAGCTGTGGAAGTGTACTGGAACTTGATCTTTTCGGAGCCTGAGAAGTTTTTCAGCACTTTAGGCAACTATCCGCGTGCTAGACTTGTACTACAAAGTTACGATGTGACGAGGGATTTAACGAGGTGACGAGGTGACGAGGTGACCACGGATTTAACGAGGCGAGGCGCACACTCCAAGACCTTATTTAACAAAGAGGTGACGAGGTAAGATTTATTGCAAATTGCCTAGACATATTGGATTTTTTTGAAACAACCTTTGACTTCGAGCAGGGTTGCCTGTAGTTCCGCGTTCTGCTGGGGTGATGTTAAAGTAGAGGGAGCCCTGTCCCTTGACCGTTTGAACAGTGGCTGTTTCCCTCTCCGCCAATTTCGGGCTTGAGGCCCTGGACCAGTTCCAGGTTCCAGGTTGGTCCCAGCAGCGGGTCATGTTAGGCGACAACATCTACCCCTCCGGCGCCGACTACGACCCCACGACCATCTCCAAGTTTTGGGGGAACGTGCCCAGCTTAAGCGGGGGTCCAAAAGGGCCGTTTGAGTCGATTGGGGCAAAAATAAATTCGCCCTTGTAACTATGTAGAACCAAGTGTCCATGGGTGAAACGGGCGCTCAAATGAGTTGGTTTTCTTTGGGAATGTGGTGTCAGGTTGGTTTGATTTTGGGGGAGGTCCCGCAAAGGGCTGCCGTTGTGTTGAGAAACATGGACTTATACCACATGGGTGTGGCTCGAAACGAAACAGGAGGGGTCACGGCAGGTTTTGGTCCATGTTTCCACTTACCAGGCTTCCATGTTGGTACTGGTTTTTGGAGCCACAGCCACATGTCAACATGTGATTGATCTGCAGATTCATACTTGGCTCTGTTTCTGGTTGGATCTGGCTTTGGGTTGCCTTCTTCTGCGAGGCCAAGAAGATCTGTGGTTGCATGGATCCCCGATTTCGGGGCCGTGGTTGGTTGGCTATTTTGTAAGACGGGCATTGGTTTGGCACGGGTTCAATTTGGAGAAGGTATTTGTGCGTGCTTCCAATACTGACTCGGAGCCATACCTAGGGGATACATAGGAGGATTGTGGCCTTTAATGGCACCTAATAGTACCTGATATTCACGAAGGTTGCAATGGCCCCACTTGCATGGCACTGAAGCAAACTCATATGAGTTGTTGGAAACTCGGGCCATTGGGGAACATGTGGGCTGACTAGCCCAGCGGAGTCTCCCTCTGCCCGAGTCCTTTCTGAAACCGAGCAAGAAGCAAGCCTAAGTGACAAGGTGACATTGCGGTTTTCCCATGCCGTTTTCACGAAAAGGGATGTGCTACGCAACCGAACCTGAACTTGGGAGCAAAACATAGCGACCAAACTTCAAGCAGGCTTTGCGACCTCACCCATGATGAAGGTGGCTGCTGTGGAATTGTTTCCAGACATGGTTGGTCTTCGGTGGAACCGAATCGCCCCTCAGACCCTTTGGAAACAAATGGCTTCTCCATTGATTCGACAAAAGGTTTGACCTTTGGCTCATGTGGGGAGAGCAACCCAGCAGAAAATAGTTCACTTCTTTAAGCCTTGGCGTTGTGGCCCTTATTGGATTATGACCCCAACAGGCAATAGATGCAAACCGCCAATGTTTGAATTCAGAAGTAGAATTAAAGGCCTACACGCTTTTTCCCACCACATGTCATGGCTACCACGAGGCACGCGTGGCCAAATATATTTGTTTTGTCCCATCTCCAATCAAACGTGTACATTCTGACAGAGATTCCCAAGCTACCCCAAGGGAAAATGGGGCACAAAGCCCGCAATGGTCATGATGTAGCTCTCTATCCCATTCTTTTCATGAGTTTAATGCGGGATTGTCTCCTTGATCTTCCGGGACCTGAAAAGCAATTGCTTTTGGCTGGTCCATCTTGAAACGAAGCTGATCCATTTTGAAACCAACCGGATAAACAAGGGATCTTACCCTGCTCAGGGTGCCAAAAAACGAAGCAAGGACTGTGTTCTTTTCGCAAGTGGAAGCCCAAAGGCGGGGATTTCTCTTTCAGACCCACTTGGCACCCAGATTGAATCGGACCAAGCTCTTGGATGTTCCTCCAAATGAGCAGAGATTGGCCTAGTGGGTTGTACACAGGATGAACTCCACGTGCTACAAGCGAAAGCCTCAGCCAACAGTGGCACCCGCTGATACCAGTAGCTCACTCAGTCCGAAGCTAGTCGACGTGTTGAACTGACCTTTCGGTTCCTTTGGGCTTCGCCGGCTTAAGAAGTGTTGTGGGAACGGGCAAGGTTGGTGCCCACTCCTTTTGATACCCTCCCCTTTGGACAATTTTCCGACCTGGAAGGCCTTCCTTAAATGCCATGGCCCCGTTCCGGAGGTGTACCTTGGCCATCCGTCCCTGAAGCGCCCTTGGCACGTGATCACAGGACTGGCTTCCCGCCGTCGGGTGGTCGGGGGATGGCTCCAAACGACATAGGCGAAATACCTCGTCATGTGTTGCCGGCATAGCTCCGGCATTTTTTTTGACAGTATAGATACGTGTGTGTATAAATACATATATGTATACATGTATATGTGTAAGTAATATATATATATATAACACAACAATATATATATATATACATATTTATATTTATATATGTGATAATCGCGGGTTCCGGGTCGTGCCCCCTGCCTGCTAATGGTATGGTACTCGTGCCTTTTCCGCAGTCACCCTCAGCATGGCGGGCATCCCAAGCGGCCACAGCAACGATGGCGTCCTGATCCCAAACCATCTCTGGGGCAACACGCCCACCAACGCAACCGCGCAGCCCCCTCTACACCAAACTAGGCCCAAACCAACCTTAAACCATGTTTACCCTTTGTTCCAAACCCAACCATAAAGAAACCTCCAAAGCCCTACCCCGTGAGAACCAACGGTGAACAAATTTTTACACAACCTCCCCAACCCCAACCCTAAATTAAACTATCCGCACCCAAACTACTCCTCAACCACAGGGGGGTGGGAAGACCCCCCGACCCATGCCACCCGACACCTCAGAAGGGCGGAGGGTTTACACATATATATATATATGAGCATGAGTAAGCATGAGCCTTATTGGCGGCCTCTTGCCTTGTTTGAATAGAAGACTTTGAGAGAGTACTTGTTGCATTGGGCATCGCAATTTGTCTTACTGGATCCACTCAGGCAGCCGATGTTCGCTTGCGTAGGGGGCAGTTTTAGGAGATCATTCACCAGGGAAGTGCATGCATTTGGGAGACTACTTGGCCAGTGGTCAAGTTTAGTTGGCGAGTCCCCTAAAGGCGCTTTACACAATCCGGATCATTGGGAGAAAGACGACCTCCATCCATTGGGAGCCGTTTGAGCGGCTTGCGATTTCGGGACTCCCTGCTAGCGGCAAATTTGGGTTTGGATTCCCACATTCTGTGCTATGGCAAGCCCGTTGAATGTGATAATGTCATTAAGTCCTGGGCTGGGATTCCGTTCCGGACCAACAGAAATGGTCGGCAACGGTTCATCACCTGGAGGTAGAACGAGCTTGCCATGATAAAGATCTTGTGATTGGGAATTCCTCACATGGGTTGTTTCCCATAGTATTTTTTCCGGATTCAGTAGCCGAGCTGGGAATCCCACTCTGGTACAAGGATGATGTTCCACGACCATGTTCCTGTCTAAAACCAAACTTCCCTTTGCTCGAGGGCAGGGATGACTCGCATTTGCACCCGAAGTTTGGACAGTAAGGACCATCACCCACAGATTCGACCATATGCGTTTGTGCAAAAAAAAGACGAGTGCAACCCAACCAATGGGGGTCCCTTCAAAGTCAACCAGCAAAACACGGAGGTTTGTTTGCCACCGGATTTAAATCAACCAACATGAGAAAGAGTGCCAACTGTTTTTCTCCCATGCAAATCCACCAACAAAGTCGACTAGGTCCCCCAGTAGTGCCCTTTTGCCCTTTTTCGGGGAGGGTTCCCCTACTAAATAGACAAACCAGAAAGAAGTTGGTACCCTTGTTCTAACCTCTCAAATCTGGAGGACCTAGAAGAACATCTGAACCTTCATGGAACGTCGGGGCACCGAGCATCTCACCGGTCACCTCAGGAAACCACGATTGGCGCACAGATGCCCTCGTGGAGCGTGCCTACACGGAGCATGCCGATAACCAGCAAGCAGGCAGGCTGAGGGGCCGGTAATCGAAAGCGGGCGGCCCTGGTCCCGAATGCTTTGAAGTGAAACCCAAAGGAGGCGTCAAAACTCACAAGCGTGTGTAAACCGTTGTGAAGGACGTCAAATTGGTTGAACAGAGTTGGAAGTGTTTTTTTTGAAGGCACCCCTTGTTGGGGTTGGCTTAAAGGGAACCCAAAGGGAAACAACAATTTGTTGGGGTCACTGATTGTAAGACAAGAAGCTACCCCTGAAATGATGTATTTGTTTGAGGGGACACGTGTTTTGGACTTGTTTCCACTGGGGATCAACCAGTGGGCAACATGTACTTGAACCAGGGTCCTTTAAAGGGAAACCAAGGTTGGTCACACAAGGGCATTTCTTTCTTAGGGGACTTCAGAAGCGTGCAGTTTTCCTGTCGGTGCGTTTAAACCAACCAGACGAGGGCTACCCTCAAATATAAGACACCGATATTGTTAAACAAGGACTCAGGAGTTTCTTGTTTTGCCTCAGACTTCTGGGCAAAGCCGGGCCCGCCCCCCAGAAAAGGAACAGCACAAATTGAAGCAGCGAGTAAGTCTCGCATACCAACATATATATATATATATATATATATATGTATGTACATATATGTACAGTTACACAGACGTTCGCTTTTTGAAAGGATCAACCATTGCAGCTTCATGGTCACTTAAGGTTTTCAAAATTGACTGGCACACGATTTGCGTGGGAGACATGCTTGGCATTTGAGTTGGCAATGCGCAGAATGGCTACTTGGTATCTTTGTACTTGTTATCGATCACGCCAGTAACTTGTTGAATTGTTGATGTTGCCGGAGAGCATGTGGTCGATTGAGGGTGCCCCCTTGTGCAGGTTGCGTCAAAGGGAAGCCAAAAGGATACGTGCCATTTGTTTGGGGGTTGACCTATTTTTACACTTCCCCTAATATTACGGGAATCCGTGCATGCGTAAGAAGTATGCAAGTTTTTCGGCAAATCGCCAAAGAGTCAAGTTTCATTTGTACAAGGGGCAATCAGAGCCACCCAAAATTGTGTGCCCATCGTGCAGGCCCCCAAAACCATCGGCTTCGACAAGGGCTCCGGAACAACACATACACATTCCTAACTCGGAGAGCGCCAGGCGCCTGCCATCCAAAAGCTCGGCTAGCGGCAGATGTTTTTGGTATGGGTCGGAAGGCACCCTTCAGGCCCTTCCCTCCTTTTCAAGGCATCCCAACAGTCGCCCCAATGTTTGACTCTATGTTTCAGCGGACTCAGGCGGTCACTGGCAGATGCCGCACTTTTGGTACAAGAAGACATACACCGCAGATGGTCTGACGGTGGATGCCTTCTACATCGACACGATGGCTGCTATGACCGCCCAAGGTTTGTTTTTCCATGATGGGTGGCAAAGCACCACTATGGACCGCTAAGTAGAAGTTGGCCCTACATGTCATCCACTTTGCTATGATTGCTATCCACTTACTCATTGGTGTGGTCATGCAAGTGGCATCAACTTGCATTAAGGAAGAAGGGCACAAGTGGTTGGACCGCGATGGGATCAAAGTTGCAAATTCTACAGGGGTCCTGGATGTCGACGAATTCTCATGTCATTTGCAATTTTGGGCAGACTTCAGTGGGGTTCTTTGCTAGAAACAAGTTGGTAAGGGGGAACACGAGGCCTCCATCATGGCCTTACCGTTCTATCCTAGTGGGACCATAGGACCAATCGCTGAAACCAGGGGTCGAGTAGATTCAACCACTGGGCTGCAAGAGAAGCAAGACAAGTGTGCGTGTCTCACTTCCCAAGCACCTGGACTTACAGGGGGAGTAAATAAAGAGTTTGAACTTTGTTTGGTCCATGCATGTTGTGAGAAAATACAGTGGAGCGAGGTGTTTCCCTGTTCTTTTCTTTCACCATCCTCACGACAGGCCCAAGCGAGTTTTGACACGCATCTACTACATCTTGTCATGTTAAAGGTGATGGTCCGAGGGCACAAAAAGTGGCTGCATCCCATTTCCCACAGTCGTTCCAACAAATCACACAGGAATCCGAAGTATGGTCCACATCCTTATGCCCTTTAAATGCAAATGTACTGATCCGCATGGCTGTGAGTGGGACAAAGGTTGGTTTCCTCACAACCAAGGGATACCCAAAGCAACTGAGCGCGCGAAACAGGTCCCTACTTCCTGGTTTCAGGGGGGTTAGACTATAGCCTATGTAAACCTTCGTAAGACAACACTGTCAGTTGAAGACTATATAAAAGTTATCCATGTTAGCAAACGTCAATAGGAGAACAGCGTGCTGTGGACACCAGCAAGAGCCTGAATGCCAAGCCAGAAGATGGGGTTGACCACTGAGATTCGGTTGGTGGTTGGGTATGGGTCAAGGTAGGTGACGCCCCAAACTGGGTGGTTTGCTTTGCATCTTCCCTTTAACCCCACCCAAAAGATGGCGCCCTCCAAAAAGTACAACCCCAAATGATGACACCCATGATTCTCCCGATCATGAGGTATGTTTATGTTTTAGTAGTACCCTCCATGTACCCCACCCCATTCCAATCATTTGGTTTTTTTTTTCTGGTAGGGGGTTGCTTAGTGTAATGAAACTTCCGCCTCCAACCGGGCTTCTGGTTCCTGTTGTGGATTTCTTTCTTGGGACACAAGAGCCGCAAGTTTCCGACCGGTTCGGGTAGATGAAGGTCCTAGATGCGGCCGCAGTTTGGAACATTGATATGTTTTGTGTAGACCATTTCAATACCGGGTCTTGATTACCACGGGTTTGCCTCATCATGAGCTAGAACAGACCGACGTCTGTCTTAGCCTTTGAGAAGCTGTTAGCGGTTTCCCACTGACTAGACAAGTTTGCACGTGTTACGAGTCAAAGACCATCCTGGTGTTGACTGTGCAAAAAAGTTGGACCCTATCTCACCAAAGGCTCATGTTCTTGGATTGTTGTTTTGTAGCAATTTCGCAAACACCACCATCATGAACGGCAACCACTCCATGTGGCGTTGTTGAGTGGCGGGCTCGTTGCGGAAGTTGGGAGTACTTTTTTGTGTTGGTTTGCTTCATGTGTCCTTTGCTTTTTCAGGTTCTGTAAACTTCCCCAGAATTAGCTCCCCTTTTGCTTTTTTGCTTTTTTGGGGTTCCCTTTGTTTTCCACTCACCAGGCAAAAAAGATATTTTTTTGCTGGGGTCCTAATTCCAGCCAAGTAAACTGGTGCCTTTCAACAGTTGGAGTTAGGTTTGGAAGGGCTCCTGGATGGCCTACGCCAAGCTGGGCGGAGCAGCGCGCGCCTAGGCCTGAGGTGGCCTGGGTGTGCTGAAGGGGGTTACCCTCCCACCAATGGAAGTGCACAAGCCCCCGGTTCCAAGAAGCAAGTCGTCTAGGGGTCTGTGCACTTGCATGTTCGGTGGGAGGCTTTTGTTTCACTTGGTGGTATTTTCAACCGTCCCCTTAGGTTGTTAAGTGTTTGGGGTTCGGGGTGTCCATTTAACCCACCCAAAAGGCATCTGAGGACAGAGGTCAATATGTTGACTATTTCTGAAGGTCATTTTGACACAATTTGGCACAAATACAGAAAGTCGGTTGTGACCCAACGAACCACATTTTGGGCGTAACCCCCGTAGCCAAACAGAGGAAGCTCCACGTTGGCATGCAAACAGACGTGCATCAGGTAAGCCTGAATTGGTGGTTTAGATTGGTAGTTTTGCGTATTTGAACCCCTGGTGCTTGCAAACGGTCCATGGGAAACCACCCCCTAGGAGGGAAGCTGACTTGACAGGCACATCCCTTTCAGGGTGTGTGCCTTTTCACCTCTGTGGGAAACACAGGGCGAATGCATGAACGTGCCTCTGGGTTTTACGAATAGGTTTGTGTGTGTGTGCATACTATAAGGGCCTACATATCTTTAATTGGTGTGTGGAAAGCAAATTAAGTCATGATTGAAGCCACATGTGTGTAACAATTTAGCTGCTGATATTTTGCATCCTGTGATTCCGCTTACCCATATAGTAGGCGACCAAGGGAGCCTGAATTTCCTTTAAACCAACCCCAACAATGGTGTCCCACAAAAGGCACAACCATAAAAGTTCCTTAGTTTGCAAAAAGGAGTGATTCTCTTTCATATACCTTGAAAGCGTGCTTTAGGCAAGTCCGATTCTTGATAGAAGGCTTTTCGGAATCCTGCTTGTTTTTGTTCAATGTCGAAGTACAGGTTGTCAGGCAATTTTTAATATATACGTATATATATATATATATGTATTATATATACATATATGTATGGCTTTTCTGAAAAAAAACAACAGATATCGAGAAAAAAACAATACAACAATCTACCAGGGGAAGAATGGAGGCAACCCGAACATTTCCTCAGATCCAGTTGTGTCTTTCTTCTTTTTTTTTATAATAATGTTTTCGGGTTTTCGAGGGACAAGACCTTTCCCCTGAAAGATTTTATTTCCCCGGAGCCTGTTGTGATATGTTTTCTGGTATTGGTCAATGTCTACGGTTGCTCAGCTGGCTTTGCATATTTCGGTTTCCGACTCGGACTTTTGCCGGGCGCTTCCGGCTGGTTCTGCGGCTTCTGCTCATGGACCATTGAAAATTTCCCCCAAATAAATTTCAGATTCAATCCTGAGCAACCCTCAAAGCCCCAAAAAAGATCAGCGCCGAGTGTGTCCTCACTCTGAAGAAGCTTTCTGTGGATGGAAGATTAAACTCTTTTGATTTCACTACCATATTGAGACCCTACTTGGTTTCTACGAGGAGTGCCCAATTCTAGGTTTTTTTTTTTCTCTTTTATGGGCAACCCAACGACACGAACATGCTAAACACACTGGGTTTTGCCGTGTTTCTGCCAAGGCACGCATTCTTTCCTATGTCTTGGCTTACTTCGTGGTTGATGAGACTGCAAAGGGACTTAGATCTGGATATTGAAGCCATTTACAATTGAGTGTGATTCAAGATTTGGATACGAATTTCTCTCTGCATTGAATGTACAGTAAATGTGTTTAGAATCACATTTGCATTATAAAAGGCACGAAACGCTTTTGTGTTTGAAGCGGATTTCGATGTCAAGTAGAAATTTGGATAGGAATACATCAATTTTCAAGTTTGTATGAATTAGAATCGTGTTCGTATCTAAATGTACGTATTTCAGGAAAGGGAAAAGCTTTTGACCTGCGGTGGACATCAAGGTCAAACATCCAAGCTTGGTCTTCACTAGGACGTATTTTTTTGGACTTAAATAGAACCACAATAAAAATCCATTTGCAAAAATAGAGTTTGGGTTGACTTGAAGTTGTATCTCCGTCCCACATTGGATTTCCGACAGAGTTTACAGTTTGATCAACATTTGAATCAAATGAGAGAAGCAGCTTATGATGTAGATTGTTTGTTGTTGTCCAAATGTGTTTCAAAACACAAAAGTGGTTGAACACAACATGGCATCGCACAAGGAACGGACCGCTTTGTGCTTGAATAGGATTTCAACTTCGCTTGCAGGAGGTCCCCCCTTAAGGCACACCATGTCTTCCATTTTCTGAAACTAATGTCCACGTTTTGTATTTGTCCTGTTGATTTTTCAAACGGAGTCGATTTCATAATTTCACTACTGGACATGTTATCATTTCTCCTGCAGACGAAAACGCACATGGAGGACAATGACAACAAAAGCAGGGTTCTTCAGGACATATTGATGTGTTTCCTGGGGATTTAAGCAACTGGCGGATGTTGTTCGTCGGAGTCAGTGAGGCGAGTCTCAGAAGCTTTGGCTCTTCTCCGAGCTCGAGCAGTCGAACGCGGATTGGAAGATCCTTGGCGAGTTCTGCAAGGGGAAGGCTTCAGGGAACCGCAAGGGATTTCTCGAAATGGGTGTCGTCCGAATGGTCCTTGGATTCAGGTCTAAAGGGAAGACCCTTTCGTTTGAGTGTTGCCCTCCGCGAAAGCTTCGCGATGAAGGTTGCGAAGGTGTTGTGTAAGAGTAGTTCGCTAAAAGGAAGATTCAATCTATGATGAACCATGTGTATTTGCCGGTAGCACGCGCAGAAAGCACAAAGTTAGTCGGAGGACACCGCGGCCTGAGGATTGCCGCAAAAAATGCGTCGCTGCAAAGGCAACCCCCAACAAAATCAGCTCGTTGGAGTTTGAAGCTTTCGTGCCCAGTGGAGCTCAACTTCCCAGCCGGATCTGGCAAAAGATCCGCAAGCGATGTCCCCCAACCAGGTATCCTATGATTCTTCAGAACCAGATCCCAGATATCCTAGTCGTGCACCCTACTTGGTTCCCCCCTAAGAACTGGCTGGCTAGCATGAGCAAACTGGCAGGAAATGGCTGACCATTTGCCACTTGGAGTTGTCCAATCCAGCGGCCCCCCCCCCCTGTCCGCCGTAGAGTTGGCACTCCTCTCTTCTTGCTGGGTAAGTAAGAACGAGGAAATCAAGCACTGCCAGCACCCAACTGCCCCAATCGCCGAGATCCCAATGCAACCAAAAGCCCATTGTCCAAAAAAAGTACCAGCACCCTCCCCCCACCCCCCCAACTGCCACAATCTGTCCAAAATCTCAAGTAGGTACAGAAACCCAGAAAAAAGTCCTGGAGTTTTCATGACCCTTTAAACATGGGGTGACCCTTTGCTCTTTGGGAGCCACACACCCCGCCCATTTTAACCACGGGCGGAGGCGCCCAGTTGGGACCTGAGTCACTGAGGATCGTCTTGGGCCACCACCCGGTGTACTCCGCAGGCCGATGGATCTCTTCGGATTTTTTTGTTCGGTGAGCCGCCATCATGGGCAGCGGCGGGAAGTCCCAACAAAAAAACGCGAGCCCTGGAACAAGTCCCCCAAAAAAAGAGCGAGCCCTGGAAGTCCAACAAAAAAGAACGCAAGCGCTGAGTAGGCCCCAAAAAACAAGGAACGGCAGAGCTGTTTTGAGGGGTGCAACGGGGCTCGCGGCCCTGTGCAAGCCATCTGCGTTCTTGGCGGCTCCCAGCCATCCCCTGAGCTTTTTAGTGTTTTAGTTTTTAGTGGGGATTTCCATTTAACCTACTATAGAAGTTAAACTTGTAGCTGGGGATCTGAGGACAAGCCCAGGTAAAGCCATCGATGGTGTGCCGTGCAAGACTCATGGGCAAGTAGGCCTCGCCGAACCCTCGCCGATGAATCTTGACGAGAGGCAACCACGGCATCACCGATGCACTGCTGCGTTGCCTGGCGCGGAGTTGATGATCTCAGCCAGCGAATCAGTTCGCTATGGACCAAAAGCAATAACAGGATTCTTGGTAGGGGGCAAAAGCTGATGTATTTGAAAAGATATGAAACTCGTGGGCCAGTGCCCGAATTTCCGGGCCCGCTACTTGCTGAGGTTACATCTGGTGGAACATGCGAGCCGGCACAGTTTATTTGGAGTTATTGTTCGGTGAGTAATGTAAATTCTGAGCCCTGGGGCGCTTCAAACCAGATTACTCAGGAAATTTGTTTGACGAGCTCGCCGAACAGGCCCTCAGGCTCATCCATGAATTCATGGGGCCCTTTCATGTCCGGTGTTGAAATTAGAGTTTTTCCACATTTTGACCTTTTGGTTTGCCCATTGTTGGTTCATTTTCAGTCATGGCCCCAAAATGTGAACCTTTTGTCTTTGGCATGTAGGGGGCAACTGAGTTCCCCTACAGGATTTGGTCTCAACAAATGCAATATGTTCATGAGCTCGGGGCTTTCTCCGATTTTTGGGTGAGCAGCTACTGGGAGCCCAATTTGTGTGCGAGTGCCGATGTTTTCGGGCTTCGGAGGGCTAGGTGTTCGCGCCCGGTGAGGGAAAACCTTGGCCCCGTTTTGGGGGATCCCCAAGCCCACCTTGGGTCCGGTTTGGGAACCGGTTCATTTTCATGGCTGGTTTCTTGGTGCCATGCAACCCGGGTGCAGACCTGTGCGATTGACGGGACACCCAATGAGAATTTCTCAGGAATTAGAGGTCCCACACCTGGCCCCGGCAGTAACTCTGCGTCCGGGATGTGGTTGTGCCATGGGTGGACGTGAATCCTTACCGAAGAAAAACCTTGGTTTCTGATTCGATTGCCCCTGTAAATACCAACCAGCAATTTGAGCCTATTTTATAGCGAGCTCACATGAGCGTATGACGAGCTTACCATGATAAAGGTCCCTTGCCTGATCCAATTCTTACTTCAGGTTTTCGCAAAGCATGCACAGCACTTCCAGGCTATGCTGCGCCTAGTGTCTCCGGATTTCGCAAGGCTTGTTTTTTTCTTTCCATGTTGGTTTGGTTTTCCGGTTTTTCCCTCATGGCATTCTTTCGTGGTGCGAGACGCGGAGAAGCCGAGCTGGAGTTCGCTCCGAGGCGAGCTGGACCCAAAGCTCCGGGAGCTTGGCGTGCCGCTCTACTTCGCCGGCCACGACCACAGCCGCGCGGTGTGATGCGTTCGGCGGATGGCCGGGGGGTGCCATTGTTGAGCTGCCCGGATAACCCAGCCGAGGGCTCCTCCAACACGATTTGTGTTATTTGAGGGTAGAGTAAGTAAGAAGAAGAATCGGTAAACCTGCTGTTCAGTGTACCTCTTTTGGTTGGGCCAAGATAAAGTGCCACGTTGTTGGTTTTGTGTTTTTGGCCGGGATATGTCTGTTGATTTGGTGTTTGGATTTTGAGGTTGTTGCTTGTTCCTGGCTGATGCCACTTCTTGGGTGCTATCACAAGATTTGCAGATGGGATTCCTTGAAGATTCATGGCAGTGGTGCCAATATGTATACTCGTTGGGTGCTCAAGAGCAGCCATGTGAGTATGTCCAAACAGGACGCCCTTCGAGGGGATGCGAATCATTGCTGTTAATTGTGAAAAGGCTCCTATTTTAGCAGGTTTCAGTTTTGGGGGCCGGATCGACGGCCGGAACACCACCCGCTTGGGGTGAAACGTCCGTTGTGCCCCAAACTCCCAGAGCGGCAGCTTTCTTCCCTTCGGACACGTGGGGCATTCTCTTTTCCGTTTTTTTGTGAGTCCTTTCGTAGCAAACAAAGGGCAAGATCTTTCAGGGCTAAGTTTTGTTTTGGCTTCACCAAGAATGTGTCTCCTTGTTTTTCTTCCAGTTTTCTTCCGGGATTACCGTGTTCATCTTGGTTGGAAGGAAAGCTAAGAGGAAACCCCACCATTGTTTGTGTCCAATGTTTGACACATACTCTTTCAGTTTGTCTTCGCACAGCCCAGGTGGCATGCCCAGCAGCCACCCTGGAACCCTTCCGCTGCTATAAACATCGAGCATGCAGTACCGTTTGGTTGCAACAGCTTTCCGTTTGCAAGCGGTTCCAAGACCCCCTCCGTTGCGGTTGGCCTAGGAATAAAATATCCAGCATGCGAAACCTTTCGGCTAGAAGACCTCGATTAACCAACTCCTGGTTGATGAATAGGGGGAGTTCCCCTCCAGAAGTAATCAATCCCCACAAAAAGGGAACACCCCTATTCATCAACCAAAGGTTTATGAATCCGTCCCCTTCTTCTAGTCCAGCTTCTTCTCTGGTCCACTATCTTCATGTATTCAGCCAGGGATGTTTAGGTTTGGTAGGGTTTAGGATGCAGCATTCAGGCTTTAGGGATGGACCACTGTTGCCTGCAAAGCCTTCCCCTTTGCTTCCGTGCGTCGGCATTGGTTGTAACTTAAGATATAGGCGTGCCTTTTTTGACTCCCACCCCTTTGGCAAATCTACGAGTGCGGGGGGGTGCCCTAATGTACGAGAACTTGCTTTGTACATTTTGGAGGCGTTTCTGACGTTCGCGGATCTGGCCAAAAGTTCGCACGTGCAGTTCCCAGCATTTCCCGCCAAATCCCGGCAATCCCTTGTGCAGTTAAACTGGCCACGCTTTTGCTGCAGCTCCTGTCATGTCCGACAAATGTGCGACAATTCTCCGGCACCCCCCCCAAAAAAATCATGGTCTTTGTTTGTTTGGTTTCCCGTCAAACCACCCAAAAAGGGGCACCCTGACAAATTTACATCCATGCTCCATATTCTTTTGAGTCCTTTGCTTTGGTGAAACAATCTCCTGCTCCGGGGGTACATGCCCCCAAATGCACAACATAATCCTTCCAGGTTGGTACCCCGAGGAATCTATGGTTCAAGCACCTGGGGATGGTCATATGGCCATGGTTCAAAACCAATGGTACCATTTTGGGATAGGTGCACCACCCACTTCAGTTTTTTAAGTGGGGATTGGGATGTTCACTGGGGGTGCGGGGTTTTGACCCATATATATAGACCCAACAAAATTAGACGGGTGTTCCCGTGGATTCCTCTAAAGTTTTTCCGTTCCAGGTGACTGTCAGCAAAAGGACATCCCATGTGTGATGATTGCGCCCTTAGATTAGCTCCATTTGTTGGCCATTTGGCCGCCCTGCTTTGACCCATGCTAGTGGAGGTTTCAAAAAGTGAAGCTTTTGCTACTTGGTCGTTTGGGGGATTGAACTAGTAGCCCTTCACGGAGGCCGCCAGAACATTTTTAGTGCTGCTGATATCTCCCGGAGAAAAAAAAAACTCCGCGGGGACACCACTTCAACGTCACCTTCTGATTTTTTTGGGTCGATGGGTGAGTTTCCTTGTGATTGAATGGGATCTACAGGGAAGCCTGCCTGTTTCGCCTGGAGGTAATTGCTACAGGGCCCTTGCCTTGCCTTCCTTTTTTTCCACGACAGCGGCAGAACCACACTTTAGGCAACCCTGATTTGGTGGCTTGGATTGGGCTGGGGAATTGAACCGCCGGTTCTCGTAGAGGGTAATGGCACACCACCCCTCACCGATCCAAAGAAACCTTTTTTGAGGGCAGTTGATTTGACGGGCACCTCCCTTTTGAAGAAGGTCCCCCCTACCGTCCACCACTTCAAACCGGGGAAGCGGAATTCTAGGGGTACCTTCCCCATTCTTTCCAGGGATCCTTCTTTTCAGGAAACCATCAAAAAGCCGGGGGAGACAGCGATAAAACAGCTGGCTTTGAAAAGATCGATGGAAAAGGAATCAACCCCAAGCAGAATTGCGCCAAGGCAAGCAGATCATTTTCCACGAGGGCCTGAGCTACGTGATCTCCGGCGCCGGCGGAGCGACCGCCCGCAGCCGGTCCAATCAGTACCCCGCAGGCGCGGAAACCGCGGCCGCAGGGCGTTTTCGAAGCGCCCGGGTCTGTTTTTTCTATTCGTATTTTGTTTGTTCGCGGGGAATCGAAGGAAGACTTGTTCAATCAACCATGGGAAGATATGGGTATGTGTCAGAACCTGGGGACCCCAGGAAAAGGTGGTGTTCCTTGTGTAGCTTTGTTTGGGATAACCAGCTGGGAAGCTTGCGCAACCTTCTTCGAGTATACTATGTTCCTAGATGGCCATGAGTCAAAAGCCAAATCGTACCCCCAGTGAACATCCGATTCAATCCCCACTAAAATAGATTCTAAATTGGGTGGTACACCAAAAACCCCAAAATGCCACAGCCAAATGTTGGCTTACCTGTATTCGCCGTTCATCAGCCCCTGAAATCGAGAGGTCTCGCTTGCTCGGGTGTCGGAAACACGGACGCTCCCCTCCTGTAGCCTCTGCTGCCTATGTGAGCTGTGGACAAAATGGTTGTCGTCTACGGTAGTAAAGGCACTCACCAAAATACCAAACAAACTGGGGCTTACTCATCGGGGACACAATGCGTATTTTTCGATTTGTCTATGATCCACTTGGGGTTCGGCACGTGGGTTACACAGAGATTTCCTCGTGGCGCACCAGTATTTTCTCAATGGAAGTGTGCTTGGCTTCTGCTTTCAAGACGCCAAAAACGGGCTGAGCTTTTTTGGGGCCTGTTGGAGGTTCACGAAGCTCCCCGAACAGCTTTCAAAAGCACCCCGCTTTGTGCACATCTCAGCTACTTCTTTCCATCCCGCATGGGTCTGTGCGTCTCTTCGGCTTTGCGCTCGCTCACCACGGTTCCAGTTGGGGTTTCTCCCTGCTTCTTCTTTGTGCCAACTGGGTATGGCTCAATTTTAAAGAGCTATGGTTACGCAGGTTTAGTCGTTGGTTCCATTTACCAAGGTGCCATTTTGGTACCACTTTTTTGAGCCACAGCCAACTGTTTCTTGGAGCAAAGCCTCCCCTTTCTTCTCCATGGCTCGGGGTTTGGGTTTCTGAATTCGGGTGGATTCCTTGCAACAAGTGGGTACCTCCTTTTAGCGTTGGAAAGGCGTCCCTTCAAAATCAACAAGGTCCCCCAGTAGTGCCCTTTTACCCATTTTTGGGGAGGGTTCCCCTACTAAAATAGACTACAGCAAAAAGGGTACCCTTATTCTATCCTCTCTACTGGAGGCCCTTATTCTAACCTCTCTACTGGAGGACCTAGACAAACAACAATGCGGACCAACTCCATTTCCCCCGGCCGATGTTTTTCCCACGCGGGAAACCCGCAGGCAGCCTGAAGCACTACTTTCCAGATGGCGGCTTTGTTGGCCTGCAACTTGGCGGAAATGAATCGCTAAGTCCCAAAAAACCGGAGATGAGATAGATACTTCTGGGTGACCACCATTTTTGGGTTCCATGTGAATTCGCAGAGTAGAGTCACGTCTCCAGATCATTCAGGACGCCTTACATGCCTATTCGGGGCCAAAAAAGTCATTCCTGGGCGAGAAAGAGTGAACAGACGTGTTTGGGATAACTATTTAGGGGGGTGGTTTTAAAAGGCAAACTCAGAGGACAAGCCTTCATTTAGTGGGTCCCCTTATTTCAAAACACAGTTTCTGGACGTTCGTCACTTGGGAAGACCCATATTAAGCGGTAAACAAACCTTCAGACTATTTTTGGGAAGTGAGGGGCCGCCAGTCAAGTTCCCCGGCCCCGCGGATGGACACTCAAAGTGCCTCATGTGGCTGGCAAGCGCCGGCCCTTGGAAGGATCCCCCCCCCCCCCCCGTTTTTCCCCGGGTGTTTGGGATACCAAGCCAGTCAAACATCCAAAGACCAGATCTCTTGAGGATCCGGATTGCTTTGCGCAAGGCGCATGTATGCTTTTAGGAACCCCCAAAACCCTCAATAGATAGGGGCGTTCCAGCAATGGCTGAATCTCTGGTGTAAGCTTTTTCCAAAGGATATCCCCCTCGAAAGCTTAAAGGTTTCCCCAACTGGCTGTTCGAAGCAGAACAAATCCCACTTTGGCACCAGGTCAGTGTGTGACAAGGAGAAGGCCACTGTGACGGTGTACAACGCAGGCTACATCGGGGAAATCTGGGGGTCGGGGCACCCTTTCTGTTCAGTTGTTTCACTCAATTCAACAGGCCTGGGGGGTGGTTTAAAGGGAAACCAAAGGGAAACTACTCATTTTGGGGTTGCCCTATTTTGACATAAACCCATAATAAAACATGCTTGAATTATTTGGAAACCACCGCTGGAGCCTGGGGGGCAAGGTGGGCAGGGAGGGCATTTTGCCGCCAAAGCGGATATCACTTCTTTCTCAACCAGTCGACTAGGTTGTTTTTTGCTATCCCAATGCGGTGACCCAACTGAAAGAGCCAACTCTGGTCCCAGTTGCATTGCTTCACTAGGTCCCCAAGTAGTGCCCTTTTACCCTTTTTGGTGGAGGGTTTCCCTACTAGAATAGACTACAGAAGTGAGGACCTAGTTCATTTGCTTAGCGGAATCGAACGTCACCTGGCCAACGACCGACCCGGTTGAAGACTCAAGACTCAGCGAGCGGCTTTAGCGGGTCCAGGCCTGAGACCAAATCCGCTTCCGTAAGCTGCCACTTGTTTTGGTTCACCAGTTTTGAAGGGAGTCTATCACTGGATCATGGTTGTGGTTGGGAAGCATTTTACATGTTTGCTTTCTGTGGTTTAGTGGGAAATCCCCACTTAACTGCTATTTTTGTTGTTGCTCCACTTCCAACGTCAACCAAGGGATGTTTGTTTTTGCCAAGGGGGCACTTAAGCAAATGGAGGTAAGTGACTTAGCGATTCATCCATTTCACAGCCATCCACAATACGACTCGAACCTCGCACTTGCTCCCTCTTTTGAAACCCGAAAAGCGACACCCGAAACCCGACACCCGGCCGCAGGCGGCGATGTGCAGGCGCTTTGGCCTGTGACCAATGCCAGCCCCCTTCGCTCACGCATGCGTTCACGCGCAGCGATGCCCAAGTTGGCGTCCAAGAAGGCGATCGACGGGAGGGGGGAACGCACCAAAAGCCGAAGCCCCGCGAACGTGGTTCTATGTTCCCATGAGACACGTCAACAGCTTTGGAGCTATGCTTTGTAATTTACCTCCCAAAAACACAATTGGTAGAAACCAACAAAGTTACTTCAAAGGGAAAACTGTCACTATTACAAACAAGTCGTACGGTGTGTTTTGGTTTTGAATTTCAACACCCCCAAGAAAGCGTCCAGCTTTGGACCCCATTTGGGGGGAGGCAAGCAGTTGGGTGGAAGTAGATGGCACTATTCTCGAACACTCGTCATCTTGGCGTTCCGGAGTGTGACCATGTTGACCGCGCTGGTTCGGTCCAAATTTCGTTTTGATTTGCTGGACAAAAAGAACAAAGAAACATACAAAACAGCTGACTCGCTACTTGTCCCATGTCCTCTGCGGGAACCGCATATGATATATATGCCATGGTCAAAACGACGCCTTGACTTGGGGTTGCCAATCATGGTCATGAACCTGTTAATGGAAGATGTTAGACAACAGTTTAAAGATTCTACTAAGGGAACCATGACCACAATCGAAGGCTGATTGTACAGTTCCATAAATGAACTCATGGCCAGTTTCAACCCTAAAGGGGGGGGGCTGATTCCCTATAATTCAGCCGCAACAAGCGGTTACTGAACCCAGAAACTAGAGGTCACTTTCAGCCTTTGACATGACACACACACAGAGTTTGACCAAGGCACTGACTGGTTGAGCCTGTTGAGAATGATAGAGCCGAGTTCTGTGCCACGTTCTGCTAAGTTGCCTAGTGGTGCCTTGTGTTTTTCCTTTTTTGGGAAGGTTTCCCTTCAAACACTCAACCAGCCAAAACAGGATGCCCCTTTTTTTCCCATGGCTACTGAGCATCTGAGTCTGTGTGTGCGCACTTGTCAACCTACAAAGTTTGATGTTATCCGAAGACACCCTAGTCGTCCATTCGCTTAAGAATTGGTTGTTTGTTCCCCTTGTTGGTTTTTAAAGGGAGTCTATCACTATTGAACAATGTTTCATTTTGTCCAGGGGGCTTAAGCAAATGGAGGCAAAGTTGATTGAAACTCTTCAAAGTTGCTAGGACTGGCGAATCTCTGAACTTGTTTCTATGTTCGGGAATGCTTCTTCGGCCCAAACAGCGAATCAGGGTAATGTTGACCCTGTATTAATAATCCCCCCCCCCTATTAGTCCGGTCCGGGTGGACCCCCCCAATACTAAACAATTCATATCTCAGAAAATACCCCCCAAATAAAAAATGATGCAAAACAACCCCCCCCCAATTAGACCGGTCCCTCCCCCAGATGGCTGCTGCTATCTCATTTTCTCCACTGCTTCTTGAGCTCATTACAATGTAAACTGTTTTTGGTGCTAGCTGATGCTGCTGATGTTGAATCGACTCATGCTGCTTGCCATGCTTTCTCTGAATGGTGTGCTGAAAAGGTGCTTTGTCTCAAATGGGCTCATGCTTTCTTCTGGTACCTTTCTCTTCATGCTGCTGCCTTGCTTAGGGCTCTCATCTCCACCTCCTACTCTCATCTTGAAGCTTGGTGGATACTTTTGGGCCTGCCCAAACCACAAAAACAAAAAGTGTTCTGAGATTGTCGATTTCTTATTAAATTCTTTACTAAACAAATCAAGTTTAGAAGGTTTCAAAGAGCACCCCACATTGGCCCCTAACACCCCCAATTAATAATCCCCCCCTAATTAGTGCGGTCCATCGGCCCCACCCCCCAAAGGAAGCTCCAGCAATACTAAATCAAATGGAAACTCAATTCCAGATCTCAAAAGGAAGCTCCAGCAATACTAAATCAAAGGGAAACTCAATTCCAGATCTCAAAAGGAAGCCCCAGCAATACTAAATCAAATGGAAACTCAATTCCAGATCTCAAAAGGAAGCCCCAGCAATACTAAATCAAATGGAAACCCCCAGCAATACTAAATCAACTGGAAACTCAATTCCAGATCTCAAAGGAAGCCCCAGCAATACTAAATCAAATGCAAACTCAATTCCAGATCTCAAAAGGAAGCCCCAGCAATACTAAATCAAATGGAAACTCAATTCCAGATCTCAAAAGGGAGCTCCAGCAATACTAAACAAATGGAAACTCAACTCCAGATTATTTAGGGGGGGTGGCAAAAAGTCTTCCCCCCAAAACCTTCCCGACCTTCGAGGGGGGGGGGGGGGGGTTACATACTAATACGGGGTCAACATTACCCCTTTCAAGTTGGTTCAAGGACCATCGATCCTTTTTTTTTGGCGGGTCGCTATTTTGACAACCCCAGTGTGCCAAATTAGCGGAACCTTGAACATGGAAGCCAAAAGGTGTTCCTTTTTGGATTCCAATCCCAAAAAGGGCAATTCCCAACTCAAAAAAAACGTACAGAGACACGTATTCAAAACACCGTACACAGACAGGTACATCAGCCACGTACACAGCGTCCAACCGGTGCAGGTTCCTTTCCCGGAGGCGGCATGCCATGGCGTGCGCATGAAGGCGCCATCCAGAAACCCGCCGGTTCGCACCCCAAATCCTCACTCGAAGACGCCGTGTGAAAGGGATACTTGGAGCCTTTGGCATAGGACTTTGGGAGTGGCTCCATGGACCGTCGAAACATTTGCGGCTAACAAAGATTGAGGCTTCACGTGACCAGATGGTCTAGTGGCGAAGTGCTTCTGAATCTTCAAAGAACAAGCGCGGACAAAAGTTGGGCTGGTTTAGGTGCAGGTTTAGGGTCTTAGTGTTGCCATTCACATGATGAAGCTGAGCAAAACCAACAAGGACGGGTTAAATTCGCTTTGTCGACAGTATGGTACATCCGCTTTTGATGGGCTATTTTGCACTCATCTTTGCGGGCAACCCCGGGTTGGACATAGTGGTCCTTTGCAATTGCGCTTCTAGATTTGTGCACTTCCTCCTAGGAGCCGCATTGCGTAGGACACTGGCAAGATGTTGCCTTCTGTTTGGCATAGTTGCGTCCTTGTTCGGTCAGAGGCAATGTGGCCCCTGTACCTGCTCACGTTTGATCTGATGCGTGTTCCATCCCTTTTTGTGGCACCCTGCCTTGGGTGAGCCACTCAGCCAAATCCCCTGTTCTATTTTTGCGTCCTGCGGGAAAAACAACACGGTCTGGGCGGAAAACACAGAACCACGGGAGGCTGGTTGGGCAGTCTCCTTCTGTTCGCCTCACTTCTTGGCTGGGTGTTTTCGAGGGTACCAACTGACCCTTTAAACATGAATCATCGCCGCCCCAAATTTATTGGGTGAAATCCCTTGTAAATGGTAGGGTCCAGGCGCCCTTTATAGGTCGGTTTTTTCGGGAAACCACAAGGAAACCATGCCTTTGTCACGCACTTTGAGTTGCAGGATGTGGAGAAGTGGTGCTCCCCGGATGGCTGCAAGGCGCGGCGTACGGTTGGAATTGTTCCAGGAGTTGGTTGTAAGAACTTCCTTTGGTTTTCGTTTGCCGTCCTTGCAGTTCTTTGGGTTTCTTTGGGTTTTATTGAGGCTCTTTAGGTTTTCTTTGCGTTTCACGAGTTTGCTGGGGTGACCACGTTTTTCAGGGGGAGCATCTCGATCGGAACCCTGCGAAGGGCTCTGCATGTCGCTCCTACTGCGGATGGACGAAATCCATTTCGCACCACTCTGAAACCATGAAAAACCATAACGTTTGTTGGTAATTGCAGGAAATTGGCATTCCAGGGTTTCTTAGGTGGTGCAGGAGTTCGTCCATCCACAGTATGATCCTTGGTTTGGATTTAAAAAGTACCCCACAACCACATTCCAGCTAATAGAATCTCGGATCAAAGCAACACGTGTACTAGAACAAAGATCACCCAGCATGAAAAGTGGTACCAGATAAGATATCTATCGTTAGTAACAGCATGAAAGCTGCAATCAAGAAAGATAAAGTAAAGTACATACTACTGGGATAGTGTTTGATACCGTACAATAAGATCTCAGATTTGGAATCGCTGCCCAACAGTTAGGAGATATAAGACACGCAGATGTGACGCCAGCAAAGCCCTCTCTGTGCACCTGCTTCAGTTTCTGCACATCAGCCCAAGTCTCAATTGATCATGTCCTGCAATGTGCCTTGCCAGCAGCAGTGCACAACTCGCTGCCCGTTCTGGCAGACATTTGCCTGCCCTTCACCAGACATAGGACTTTGAGCGAAAGGATGCAAGTGCCAATATACACAGTTCTCGGGCCCAAAGAGGTCTTCCTCGGATCAAGAGACACTGCGGTTGCGCCCCTTTTTTGCGCGCCATTTGAGCAATTCTCGGTTGGCAAAAGGCGCGCGCGCTTTGACAGTCTAATTATGTGTTCTCAGGCAAAAGAGTTGGCGTAAGCTTAAGCCGTGAAAGGGACAAGGGGTATTGTGTTGATTCCCTGCACTAGGTGACTCTTAATTTCAGGCTTCAGGAAACTCCCCTGCTGAACGGAGCACCACCAAGAACAAGGAGTCTCCTTTTCTGGCTTTTACGAGAAGAAAAAAACAGATTGCTTGAAAAAAAGATGGTGGACTGGACATCTCCCGTCTTTTTTGTGGGTAAGACAAACACAAAACGCGGGCACATGGACTCCTTTTCCTTAGATAAAACGTGGACTTTGGGTCCGGCCCGCATTTCACTCCTGCAGGTCCAGGCAGACGCCGAGGGCAGCTGCGAGGAGCGGATGCGGTCCATTTCGTGTTTTTTTTTTTTTTTTCACCTCTCTGAACCCTCAACCTACCCATAAAATGCCGTCAAAAAGGGGAATTCACCCACCAGAACTTTGGGCAATCACCCATGTCTACATGGGAATATTGAGGGTCCAGGTTTGAAGTGTGTGGGGTTTGTGGTTCAAAGGTGTGGCTGAAAATTCAAGAGCTGCGGCAATCCGCAGGTTTTAGTCTTTGGTTGCATTTAGATTCGCCATTTTGGTCCCCATGTTGTTGAGCAGCCAACTAGGGTACCCCCAAAGTGGGCCGCTGTTCTTTGACTCAACGACAGAAGCACCTTTTTGGAATCACTTGGCTTCGACCGGTACAACCGAGTCGGCTTTTGAATATATGGTTGATTTTATGCAGTTGGTGCCTCACTTAGTTGATGTTGAAATTTTCAGTGTTTTTGCCTTTTTGAGCCTATTTGTTTCTTGAAATAGATGTTCTTGAACTAGATGGTGACCAGTTGGACGTTCCAGTTTCGATCCTGAAGTATGGGTGTGTTTTGTTTCCAGGGAGCCCCTTCGGTTGTTTGGGAAACCCAAAGGACACCGATAGGGTACCGATTCCTCGGAAACTTAATCCTCACCCCCGTGCGCCAACATGCAAGAAATATCCGCGCGAAGGCTTGCAGGATGTGTGTGGGGAAGGAAGTTTGAAATTTGATCGCTCCCGAAGGATTCCACCTTGACTTTCCCACGTGTCACAGCACAAAGATGGGAAATGGTGGCCCAGCAAGGAATGCCTACTGTACGTTCGCCGTCCCTTGACACCAGGAAAATAATGTATGGAAGAGGGGCCCCCACGTCATTCTCAGTGGTGGGGATGGATCAAGTTTTTTTTGGCAAATCGGCCACGCAGCATTCGGGAAACTATCGTATCACCAAACAGCTCATGGGACTTCAGGCCCGCGGCAGGCGCCCATGGACAGAAATCACGTGAATGAAGCAATGATTTCCACCAAGGGGTCTCATCAATTTAAACTACTTGATTGGGTGGAGAAAATGTTTGGCCCCCTCAGCCACGTGCAAGAGTCATGCCGTTTGCGGCAGATTATCTCGCTTGATGTTTGACCTTCAGCGATCCTGGATCCTTCCGCCAGATACCAGCACCTTCACTCCGAGTGCTGTTCCAGTAGGGACGGTGGATGGTCGAGTCATTTTTGGTTACAACCGTAAGTGAGGATGAATCAACCGAACGTGGTTGTTGTTGGGAAACATTTACATGTTTGCTTATTGTGGTTTGGGGAGAATCTCACTTATCTGCCAATCAGATCTGTTGACTCCCAACCTCAAAGTTGACCCTGGACTTGCGGATCTGTAAAGTGGCTCCCCGAAAGTGAGCCTCTAAGATCAGACACCCCCTTCTTCCACACGGCTAAGAGGAGCAATCCACGCCGCATGCTGTTCGAAAAACGAATTCCTTTGGGGCTAGGTGTTGGCTGGGCTGACGTTGGAAGGGGACCCACATCAGCCAAATACCCGGCGAAACCAGGGGTTCGGGCGCAAAAATGTCTGTGGAATGTCCTGTAGCTGTGCTCTTAAACTGTCTTGTTGAAAAGTCCATCCTTATTTGTTCAGGTCTTGGAAGGGGCCTTTGGCGAGCTCGGTGTGCCGCGCCCAAACTTTTTCTGGCCAGAATGTTGGGGTCCCTTTGCTGAAGCAAAACTTGCTGGTGCGATAAGCAGGGAATGAGACATGGAATGACCCCCAACAAAACCATCCAACTGGTGGGGTTTCCTTTTTCTCTTCCCCAGAATTAGCTCCCGTTTTTGTTGTTTGAGCTTTTTTGGCGTGCCCTTTGTTTTCCACTAACTAGGCAAAAATGTGTGCTTTTTTTTGCTGGGGTCCTAATTCCAGCCTAGTTTTGGGGACCCCTGGGTTCATTCCATTTCTCATTCCCTACTTCTCGCGCGGATCGCAAGAGAAGGACTTCTGTGGGCTTCAGTCGCTGGCATGCAGCGGCGCTTTCCAGCAGCCCGAGGACGCAGAGGACGGATGGGCTGGCGCGGCCCAAATTTTGTTGTTGGCTTCCAGCCATCTGGTTCCTTAGCCTCAGGAAAGGAAACCAGGGATACGGGAGGATTCCCCCTAAATGCACCTTGACTAAGTTTGATATGGGAAATGGCGCCAAGGGAATCCCCGCATATCCCCGCTCCCTCCGTATCCCCGCTTGTTCGTTCGTCCAATAGCCTTTTAGCCTTTTCGTGGCTAGTGCTAGTTTCCATTAAACCTACTCAAAGTTAGCCACTTTTAGCGGGGCATCAGAAAACGGGCAGCCCAAATTTTGTGTTGGGCACTTCTTGGCGCTCTGCGCTCATAGTTAGGAAAAAATCCGTTCGCACGAATTTGAAACAACCATTGGACCAGGGGAAACCATAACGTTTGTTGGTATTTACAGGGGAATCGAATGATTCCCTCGGGTTTCTGAGGTGGTGCAGGAGTTCGTCCATGCACTATAGGGGCCGTTTTGAGGGGAAATTGGGGGCGCAGCCGAAAGCTGGTTCTTCGGCACCCACTTTTGCCCATCAATATTGGTCATCAAGAAAGCTCCCGTTGGCTAGCGGACATTGATGCATCTTGCCAATAGCCAGCCCAACTCTCCAAAGAGACACCCTGTCCCCGTGGGATATAGCTCGACCCAGTGGCCCCATTGGCCCACGAGGAATGTCACATGGGAGGACTGCACTGGAAGCGTGGTGCTGCCTTGCAGCGCCAAGAGCAACTCCAGCGACTTGGTCATTTCATGGCTGGGGGCGAGGGAGAGGAAGGGGGGGAAGGGAACCTGAATAAGCCTGACTACGGCCTTAGGGGCTTAATACCCCGCCCCCATTTTCATTGGAGCGATCGGGAAGTGAAAGGTAGTGACGTATGATGGGTTTTTTTCTCTCACTTCCTGAGTTCCTGAACTTCAAACTGTTTGGGAAGACCATTTAGCTAAATAAACAGTTTGGACTGTTGGCCAATCCACTCAACAAACAAAAATCATATAATTCAACCAACAAATCTGCAATTCAGGGGGGCCGAAGACCCCGAGTTTTGCAGTTGCTCCTTGGTGCCAAGGGTGGTATCCCTCACTACAAGGTTTTGACGGGGCGTCCCGACTTTCGGCCCGCTGATTGTTTTGCCCAGACCCTCCAGGGTCCCGTTTGCCTTGTGTTGGCCTTGTTTTGCACTCTTTAAAATCAACCCCAAAGAAAGAGAAACAATGTTCTCGTCACTCTGTCCCTCTTTTGTCTTTTGGGAGTAACCCTTTTGGTGCAATAAAGGGGTAGCCACTCCACAAAGAAACCACACCCGTTGGAGCATCGCCTGGGCGTAGTGCAGGCCTCATCTGCGAGTGCGACAAGCCCACCTTCGTGCCCTGATGCGGTGAGACTCGTGGTGCCCAAAATCCTGCGAGAGTTTGAGAAGCCCAAAGTTTTCCTGGAAGGGCTGCAGAGATCTGGGCTGGTTGCCCCCATTAAAAGAATGGTTGGCCCAATCTGCATGACCATCCTTAGGTAAACGACGATGGTTATATGAATTCCTCCATTGGTTTTAATGCTGGTTTAAACCTTAGGGTCTGGACTGGTAGAGCCCATCAAAGGGTCGGCGGATCTACACATTCCGTGCACGCTTGGGCGGCGAACAATGTCGCAGCCAATTGAATTGGCGGACCATAGCTTGCAATTCTCACGCGCCAGCCGAGCCTTCTAAAAGGAGACCAAGTTGCACCCAGGGGCAGGCAGCAACATAGACAGCGCCCGAAAGCACCATTGGCCATTGTAGCATGGTGTTCTACTACCTTGTTTCACCGAAATTGCTGAAATAACTGCAGAGAACCTTAAGGACCGCTTTTGCGGTTTGGGCACTGGGATGTTCGGTCACAATGTATGGTTTTAGAGCGAAACAACCTGCATTTTGATCCGCGGCTCCCAATGCTTTCTGGTCCATTCCAACCAAAGATGGCTTACAGGCAAAGGAGTCCCTTTGGGTTGCACAAAGAAAGCCAAAAGGAACCAACCTTCCTATTTCGAGGAACTTTCGCAGGCATCCACGTTAGTGTTGGGAGGGTGCTTTGCAACTCTTGTAGGACATTGGGTTGATTCCTGCAAAGGGATACGCTTGATTCCCCAAGCGGATCTTAGGCCAAGTTAGCAAGTGGTTAGCTTTAGTTATGACTCACCCAGAGCAGAGTAAACTCCACTTAGGGATACTTGCAAGTAGACTATAACCTTGGTCGTTACCAACTCACTTGCTTGCCCAGCAACCCAAGTAGACATTGTGAGTAGGTTCAAGGCTGTGGAATGCGATTACTCGGCAAGGATAATCCACAGTAGGGGAACCCATGTGAATGCACACCTGGCTGATTGGAGTGTTTCCCGTGTAGGTGATCTTTTTTTCAGAAGAAACGCCCCATATCCACCGGTCGGTTCATTAGGTCCAGGTCAACATTTGTGTTTGGGGCCAAAGCTGATGGCACAATTCCCCCTGGTGCTTGTACATACCCCTTTTTCATACCCCTTGGACCAATGAACCCAAAACGCCTGCTGATGTTCATACCCCTCTCCCCAAAAGGGGTATATACCCCTTATAAAGTGGGTTGAAAACCACGGAAGCCAAGGGGTATGAACAAGGGGTATGTACTTCCACCCTTAGACATGTGGATTCAGTCCCATTTACTTACCCGCATGTATCGCCGGAATTGTGCTCGGACGCCTTTGTGCAAGCGGTTTTGGCGCTGTCTCATTGCGAGCAAGCGACTCGCAGACTAGAGGAGAGCTCCGACCGGTTTCGAGTGGAAGGTCAAGCAAACTTTGGGTGCTTCAAAGGCCATGGTGTTCCGTTCACCCAAAGGGAAAGGCAAAAAGAACGGGCGGTAATGTCAACAAATGGCAACAAGGTGCTCTACTTGGACTTGATCCAACCAAAGCCTTTGCCTTCCAAAGAAAGGGGTCACGGCCAGCCAGTTTTGATTCGGGTTATGAGGAGACTCAGGGTACCTCCAACCAGACTGAAGTCGATGAGACCGAAAGGAGCTTCGATCCAAATTCGACTAACTTTTGTCGCCCTCGTCCAACACGAGGAGCCGACTTCGCACTCTGATCTGACTGCATTTCAGCTCTATCACCTTGGCCACAAAGCGCCTTGAGGCTTCCTTACTCCTTCGGTGCTTTATGGTGCTTCTATGGTCCTGCATTGGTCAGTCCGGAGCCGAAGTCTTGAATTCAATGGGCAGGTCCCGAAGGGTGAACAAGTTGGCTCGGAAAAGGACTGCGATGCTGGTTTTGCTTGTTGGGGGGTGGGCAGGGGTCGCGTGTCAGAGTTGTTTGCAGACGCCTGAAAACAACGATATGTCAAAGGCTGATTGTATGGACCCACGAGCTACAGGAATCTTGGACCTATGATTTTCCAGTTTGCTCACAAGTCTCGTACATTCCGCCCTTGACCAAGGACCAAGACCCAGAAAAAAAAAATGCTCGCTTTCAGAGAACTTGACTAGGTCCCCCAGCAGTGCCCTTTGACCCTTTTTTCGGGCTACATAAAAAACATAGTACCTTATTCTAACCTCTCTACTGGAGGACCTAGGAGGGGTGTAAAGCTGAACAAGCTTCTCCTAGGCGTCAACTCTCCCTGAACGCAAAATCCTCAACATGGTTGTTGTTGGGAAGCATTTGTTTCACATTTTTTGCTGATAGTGGTGTAGTGGGGGAAATTCCCACTTAACTGCTAAAGTTGAACATTGTTGGCTCCCTTCCAACGTCGACCAAGCCATGCGCAGCCCTTCACGGTGTGCCACTTTCGAGGAGTTGAGTCCCTCATTTAGCTTACAGATGTTGACTCTGGAAGCGTCGGCCTGGTGGATTTTTGTTGGGGGGGTTTTCCCGGAAAGTGAAGGGTCGCCAGACTTGGACCCCAATCAACGTGTGTGTGTGTGTGCGGAGTGACAGAATGCCCTGTCACCACCCTTTCGGTTTCTCAGCAGGGGGCCAGCGGCCATCAAGCAAACGCTGGCCAACGAAGCTATGCTTGATGGTGGATGCACGGATTGATCACCCGTGTGTACCTGCGTTTGTGAAGTGATGTTGATGAAAGTCCTTTTGGCCCGTTGTTTCTCTCGCTGTGTGTGCTTCATGTTGAACCTTGTAACGTTTTCGCAGCTAGACGGAAACCAAGTGACTGCAAGCCGAACCTACACCCACTCGAGACTCATCAGTTGTACTCGAGACTCATCAGTTGTACTCGAAAGATTAGCACTCTCCATCTGGAGTTTAAGTGTGTACACCCCATTCGTGGGGAATCCTCGGGTGTACCCATTGTGTGACCCCGGGCCGGCTCTGTCGGAAAATTTGACCTCAACGTGCGTATCATAGAACAGCGGAATTTCACATTTAACCAGGAACGAGGTCTCACTAAAGGGAAGACAGCGGTCAGATCATAGAGACGTCTCACCATCGATGATTGCTTGCCATTTGTTGGATTCGTTGATACCTTGCCGTTGCATGGATTTGCTTGTTGTTTGATACGTGTCTCTCAAGATGGAAGCGTGAAGATTGAGAGTCGATTGTGTAACCATGTCTCGACGTGATGATCGTGATAGATCCAGGACTCGGCGCAGACGTGATCGGAGTACTTCTCCTCAGGCTCGTAAAGCACACCGACGTGAACACCATGACCACCACGTCTCGGAAGGCATGGATTGGAACAACCTGGTATCTTGGCAACACAATTCCGGCTACAACTCTGCCAACAATTCCCCGATGATGCCCACCAATTTTCAATCGACTCACAGTCCCACACAGCAATTCCAACACCCAGCGATCAACTACATGATGCCGATCCCTCCAGACCCCACGCCAACGAAGTTCATGCCACCCGTGATGCCACCACCGGTCACTACTCCGCAACCTACACCGCCACCTGGACCTCCTGCGGCTCTACCGGTTCGCCCTCAGAAAGCCTGGCTTACACCATCGCCTGACTGGACACCTGGAGATGGCATGTTTAATGTCAATCAGCTCTACAACTTTAGCCTGCCCATGACCGTTGCCAACACTCCGCATGGCAACCTGCGCGACATGTCAGGCATGGATATTCGTGACGTTCGCCTGGTTCAGGTTATTCATGGGGGCCTCACCAACTGGCTGCTCCGACCGTTCGCTCACGGCAGATTCGTGACGTGGGAAGGCTTTCGCACTCGCACCGAGGCCTTACTTTGGAGTACCTGTTCCAAACTGCTACGACGATCACAGTCGATCAACCTGCTCACCCTGGAAAAGGACCTTGCCAACTCGCTGGGTCTCAACATCGATGACTTCAATCAGCGGATCAAGGTTCATGACCATTTGGCCAGCTTGGTACTTCAATTTCTTCAGCAACACCACGCCTCTCTCACACCTTCCACCCAGACAGATGACATGGTCAAGAAGTACAATGATCTCAATCGTGCGCATGAGCTGCTCCAGGCTCAGTATTCAGCATCGCTGCGCGCTTCGACCTCTCCCACGATGGCAAGCCAGAAAGATGATGCAGAGTTGGTTACACCGCCACCGGTCAACCACACACCATCCTCGTCACCTGCCAGCTCCCTTCCTACAGCCAGCGCAGCGGCCCTTGATGGCAAGTCGTTTGATAGCGCGGTGCAACCCCGGATCATTCAGTCTCTTCACGGAGTGTCTTCACCGCCGTCCAAGCCGGCGGCGTCACAATTGCTCACCATGCACAGCACGCCGGAAGAAGTTGTCAAGTACTACACATGGACCAGTGACCAGCCACGCCTTTATCTCAAGCAATCGCCCACAACCACGACTTTGACGTCACTGGTCAAGTGGGCCAATCACCCGTCCCGGCTCAACGGCAACAAGTCATTAGATTCCATGGCGACGCAGCTCCTTCAAGCGCGTCAACGCATGCCGAAAGGCGACGCACCTACTCTCGGGGCGATGGCGGCTTCGTGGGGACTGGAACCCGGCTATCTCACCAAGCTCACTGAGAAGGCATTGAGTCACCTCATCGTGACCGCTCGCCTACTCAGCGGATGAGCAAGCATCTTAACGACCTTCGTTCTCTTATGAGCCCGGAGCGGCAACCGTGTCACGGATGAGTCAAGGTTAAAACTCGTCCGTCATCTTTCTGCGTTGCATCAGTTTGATCTTGTACTTGGTTGTGCTTGCATTGCCTTGTGCGTGATTGTCTGTGCAGCTTGTATCCATGTCGCCGCCTTATGGTAGATTTCATTGAGTGCATTTTCACCATGTTGGATGAGCTTCGCCGATGTGGAATCTATGATGATGTTGCACAATGGCAGTCTCTGGACAACTTTTTACACTCGTTGACCATGTTCTCTACGTGCTGGCAATACTGCTTCCCTGGACTACCACCACCGTCGATACCAGCTGATGAGTACGAATCTATCACACAACTACCGTGGTTGGGCCTCATTCTGGAAGTCTTAGTTGTGGTCCGGATTGCCCTTCAGATTCCGAATCACGCTATGTCAC